TCTTTTAAATATCATCAAATATTAGCTCTACAGACCTTACTGCAATGATATGAGTTATTGAATGAGAGGGCTTGGCTCATCAGTAGTGAACCCTCTCAGCGGTTTCGCCAAATTAATCTCTAGACCGCTCTACTATTGTATTGGACTGGTTTTGTTATATACTCCGCATTTTCTATGGAAGGCAGCTTAGGGGTGTTTAGTGACTATGGACATAAGCTTATAGGTTGCAGTAAGGTCTGTAGAGCTAATATTTGATGATATTTAAAAGAAACACATTGCCAGTGGATTTATTTGTGTAAAACTTTAACGATAGATGGCAATAAAATTTAATTTAATAATACATAATACAATATAATTCAGCTTATAATTGTAGAACGATATTTGAAAATTATCCCGCATGTGTTTCTTTTGAACGAAAAATCGAAATTCATTTTAAGGAGAAAAAACTATTATTTCTATTCTTAAGGATGAAGTATGAAAGGATGAATTGTGAAGAGTAATAATTTGCCATCCCTGGACACTTTATTTTTCCGTTCATCATTACTCTTTACAATTCATCTTTTCATACTTCATCCCTAAGGTTAGAAATAATCGTTATTTCTCCTTAAATTGAATTTCGATTTTTCGTTCAAAAGAAACACATGCGAGAGATAATTTTCAAATATCGCGTTATACATATATATATACAATCATTTTAGGCCGTGAATAGAATAGTCATATGATGTTAACAATGAGAAAAAGAGAGAAAAAAAAAAAACGATAAAAAGAACTGTGTACAAAAGAAAGAAGTGTCTGGTAATATATACAATCAACATAATATAAATTATCAGTTTCTTTAAAGATATTTGTGTTGCTATATAATTTAAAATATATTTACAAAAGGTATTGAATTTAATATACATTTCTTTATTGGAAATAAAAATACTTGGCTATGAAAATTCAAAACTATTATAGACGCGTATGATTCTTTTGAAAATAAAACAATTTCTACTGTCCTTACTGCAATGGAAAAATTGATGAGCCCTCCTATTAATTTTACATTGCAGTAAGGACAGTAGATTTTTTTTTTCAAAAGAATCATACGCGTCTATAATAGTTTCGAATTTTCATAACAGATGGCGCGCTAATATATCTTAGGCTTTATAATCATCTGGAAAAAATTCGTAAAAAGCGCAAAATTATGCGGCAAAAGGTTTCTTTAAACCTTAATGAAAAATTTCGCCTTGTGATTTAGCGCTTTTTACAAATATCTTATTGGCAATTAAACTAACTTTTGCCGGGAGGATATTGATCTAAAGAGACAAAGGTCGCCTCTCCCGTCAAAATAGACATCAAAACTCTTTAGGTGGACGCTTTTCAGTTTGCCAAAGCTGGTGTTGTGGCTTTGTCACCGACCCGAGGCCGCTAGTTCCGCGACGGTCAATAGATGGCGTCTAGTTTTGACGTCTATTTTGACGGGAGAGGCGACCTTTGTCTCTTTAAACTAATGGAGTATTACAAAAGTAAAAGAAAGAAATTAAAATACTCATGGACAAAACTTAAGGAAGTTATTATACCTTTTAGCATGTATATCGGGACATTAACTCTGAAAGATACACTCATAGACAAAACTTAAGGAAGTTGTACCTTTTAGAAGTATATCGGGACAATAACTCTGAAAGATACACTCATAGACAAAACTTAAGGAAGTTGTACCTTTTAGCAAGTATATCGGGACAATAACTCTGAAAGATACATTCATAGACAAAACTTAAGGAAGTTGTACCTTTTAGCAAGTATATCGGGACAATAACTCTGAAAGATTATACAGTGACCTTTATTGATGATACACGAGATAATCAAGTGTAAACAAAATTGTCTCTGTTTACTTTTTTAAAAAAGACGATTGGCGATATTAAATACTTTCCACTTCCTTAAGTTTTGTCTCTCTCTCTCTCTCTCTATGAGTGTATTTCAACACTGATTGAAATGTACGTAAAATATAACTAAAATCTATTTATAAATAGCTAAATGTTTGTAAAAAGAGACAAAAACTCTTCCTATATATTAACAGCTGGAATAAAATATGTGAAATAGTTTAATTATTAGGTACTTCTTGTTTATTATGATACTCAGGTAGCTTTCGAGCTTTAGATCTTTCTCAGGCCTATCACAATCGTTAATCACGTTGATGCACTACACTTGTATGTATTCATATATTTCTACTGTCCACAAATCCTATGTGCCCGTAGTTTCCCGAAATACCAAGAATTATTCTAAAATTCTGATTATATTTCACATGTATGTTAAGAAACAAATTAATTTTGCAGCGAGTTATAAATGTTGATAGATCCTGAAATTTATTTTAATCAAAATGATCAAGTTTTTTATCGCTTTTTTTGTAAGTCTTATTTATATGAGATTGTAATAGCATTTTTTTTGCTTATCCCTAGTACACGTGGTACAGGCCATGATAATCATAGTGGGTAGAAGTAGGCGACTGCTTTTACTGTAAGTGCACCACATGTCTACACATGTGAAAAGCAGTTCGACTTTGCACATACAAATGTGCCAGAGCCCCGTTTGGTTACTTGTACTCGCTGGTGGGTTTGGACTTTTGCAAGAATCGGGGGTCATTGGAGCATTTTTTTTTTTCATCAGAAAAAAGTGCCAAATGCGGGGATCGAACCCGGATCATAACGGTCGAAAACCAACGGTTTAGACCATCCTTCCACCGACCCCCTTGTAATAACATGATTATTAAATATAAAATTAAGCGTCGTATTTTTTTAAGTGCCGAAAATCGATGTTTTTTATACGATGTGGTATACACTACTCCACCAACTCCGGGTTTTTTCGTTTTATATTTAGATATGTATATATGGTGTCGTTCTTTAATTGGCTCTCATATGCGGCGCATGCGCGATGTTATTTCATTTCTTTTTATTCCGCATTAAAATTACAAAATACGGTAACGGTCATAATAAACCCCTAACAATTTTTCTCTCAAAAATGAATTTATAATTAAGAATGCCGCCATCTGAAATTAATAGGAGGGCCTGGCTCATCAGTGGTGAACTCTCCCAGCGGTTGAGTCAGGCTCTCCTATTATTTTTTCATTGCAGTAAGGACAGTAGAAATTGTTTATTTTTAAAAAGAATCATACGTTTCTATAATAGTTTCGAATTTTGATAACAGATGGCGCGCTAATGCATCATAATTAAATTAATTTATCAAAAAGTTAAATAAATAAGAAATGTGGAGATTACACAACGTGTATTCAGCTATTCGGTTCAGACCTACCCTCGACTTCAGCGCCGTATCAGCGACTCTAGGCAAATAATGTCCCAGTTGCATATTGCCTTCCTTTCTACACCATATTTTCCAATGATGCCGGAAACACCAAATGACGTCATCCGGTCGTAGATCTTCGTCAAGTAAATGGACCCGCGCCGCGCCATAACTTACATTGTGGTGGGAGCTATGCAACTCAAAGGGAGGAATATTCCCCTTGACAAGGATGGAATAATCCTCGATCCCAACATATATATGGTCGACATTTCTTCTTAACTGGGATAGAATGGTATTTGTACCCAACACATACACTCATGGACAAAACTTAAGGAAGTTGTACCTTTCACCATGTATATCGGAACAATAACTCGGAAAGATATTACAGTGACCTTTATTGAAGACACTCGAGATAACCAAGTGTGAACAAAATTGTCTCTGACTCCTTAAAAAAGAGACGACCGGCGATATCGAAGACGTTCCACTCATTAAATTTTGTCTATAAGTGTAGACGGTTAAGGTAAACCACTCTGCTATGCAACTCAATATGCAAAGTTGGAGTATTCCTTTTTTTTTTTTTTTGCTAGCTTTGAGGAAGGAATGATAAAACACCGTCGATTTTGGACAACCACCACCTGAATGGGAAAAAATCCCGAATTTAGTACCTTTTTATGAAAATAAAATTGCTTCAATGTGCTCATTTCTTTCAAAAGTCCAACTCCACCAGTGAATGTAAATTATCAAACGAGGATTCTGGCAACTTGAAAGTTCAAAAGTCAAACTTCTTTCTACATGTATAGATATGTGGTGAACTTACAGTAAAAGCCGTCGCTAACTTTCTCCTATGATTATCATGGCCTGTATCACGTGTATTTGGGATACGTTTTAAAAAGGCTAGCTTTATCCATCATTCAATATGTAAAATGTTTCTTATCCCGGGAATTTACACTGTGAGTGGAGTTGGTATCAAATTATATTTTGACAAAATAAACATCTTTTATGCACTTATCTGTGCTCCTAATAAAAAATTCTACTCTAGTTTTCCGATAAGATAATATTCCAAGCTATGTGATTGGTGGCTACGATAACCAGGTTTGTATGAATATACGTATATAGAGGGTTGTAAAACATTTGAAATACTATCCCACATGTGTTTCTTTTCAATGAAAATTCAAAATTTAATTCAAGGAGAAATAACGATTATTTCTAACCTTTCTCCTTGAAATAAATTTTGAATTTTCGTTGAAAAGAAACACATGCGGGATAGTATTTCAAATGTCGTTTTACAATAACAAACCGCATAATATTATATATAGAGGGTCTAAAAGTATGCGAGGGTGATTTTCAGCGTGACGAGGTGGCCGAGTGGTTAAGGCGATGGACTGCTAATCCATTGGGCTCTGCCCGCGTGGGTTCGAATCCCATCCTCGTCGCTTTTTTTTCTTTTTTTCTATATATTTTACCATAAAGTACCAAGGTTCTGTTACCAGGATTCGAACCTGGGTTATATTGCGGCCACAACGCAATGTCCTAACCATTGGACGATCACGGTAGGTAAAAAGGTGCTGTGTTCAAAAAGCATGCGTGGGTTTCTTCCACCATGACGAGGTGGCCGAGTGGTTAAGGCGATGGACTGCTAATCCATTGGGCTCTGCCCGCGTGGGTTCGAATCCCATCCTTGTCGCTTTTTTTTTTCTTTTTTCTATATATTTTACCATAAAGTACCAAGGTTCTGTTACCAGGATTCGAACCTGGGTTATATTGCGGCCACAACGCAATGTCCTAACCATTAGACGATCACGGTAGGTAAAAAGGTGATGTGGCCAGGATGACCTTAAAGCGAATGGTACATGCGGGAGCGATAAATTGTTGTTAATCCACATGTGTTTCCTAATCAAGCAACTAAAAGTTGTTGATGGCTTTCGCCATCTATCGGAATAAATATTAACTATACGTTGATTTTTTTTTTAAATTATTATTCCAAAAATGTGGCCAAATCCCACTTCTTAATTAGTCAAGAAAAGCTAACCACGTACGCGTTTCGGGCTGTTGGCCCTCATCAGCGTGGTGTAAGCTGTATCTCAACGACCAAAAAGCTGGCCTAAGCTGATGGGGTCTAATAGCCTGATACCGAGCGGGGTTTGCTTTTTTTCTAACTCTTCACAAAAAAAAAGGTATTTTGGGAAATTCTGTAATAAATAAAAATCAACGATTAGTTGGTATTTATTCTGATAGATGGCGCAAGCCATCAGCAACCTTTAGATTCACTTTCAGGAGATGCCTTTATTTTAACTACAACGATTTGTTTGTTTTTTATTTCGATAATAATGGATAAGCTTTCAAGTTAACAAAGGATCTTCATTAAATCGTTTTGGTTTGAAACCTCTCCCAGGTTTACCGAAATAAAGAAACGAACTTCTTCAGATTAGTTCTCGTGTTTTGAATAGCATCACAACGATATTTACATTATTTAATTCTAAATATTCCCCTAATACAATACACTACGTACTCCGAACGGGTTTCGTGGTGAATGGTCCTCTCCAGAACAATGTAGGCTGTACAGTAAAGTGTGTAAGAAGACTTTCTGTTAAAACATTCGACAAGTGTTATCCAAACTATGCAAAGGTGTTATATGCAACACAACCAACCGACATTGTGATAATGTCTTCAGACCGGAAGTTGTGTGGAGGAGATCGTCTGGTGAAGATTCTCATTTCCGGTTTACTCTGATTGCAGGTAGTTGGCGCATGCGCGTATATACAGGAAGTTGGAACCACAGTAGAGATAAGTATGGAGAAACCATGCCATCTATAGGCCGAAGTAGAAACTAATTTTATAAATTAAAAAGAGAGCTTTCTATTGCTTTGCTAAAAAATGTACATTGAGATGTATTTGTGGGTAATTAAGTCGTAGGAAGTAAGTACAATGTAAAGAAAACCGATACCAATACTAAACCATTTAAAATTACAAAATATTTTCTCACAATGCGTTTCTTTTTATTTCAAAACGCTAGCTTTCAAGTGATTATCGCTTGATAAGTTTTTTCACAATTTTATCATTCATTGAAATGAACCAGGCGATAAGGAAGATGGGTGTCTTTTTTTTTTAATATAAAACGAGCACAAGCTTTCGGGTAAAAACCCTTCTACAGGCGGCTATCACATAGATAGGATAACATAAGATGGATCTTGTTATGTGATAGCCGCCTGTAGAAGGGTTTTTACCCGAAAGCTCGTGCTCGTTTTATATATAAAAAAGACATCCATCTTCCCCTTATCGCCTGGTTCATTTGAAAGTTTACTAGGAAGAGTTCCTTGCAATTTTATCATTCATGTTTTTCACAATTTTATCATGAATAATGCTAAACTATAATTCGACACATTTTTATTTCCTTTTTTATATTACACAACCATATATAAAGCCATTTTAAGCATTAATTTTCTCTTTTCTTTCAATAAACACAAACTTCCTTCTGAACAATAAGAATTCCTGAAGGCTCTCCTCTCGGGAATGAACGAACTCTTTCAGCAAAATTTAACATTCAAAGAAAAAATCCCTAGATATCTCGAACGACAATGAGCATCATTAAGAGAAATTTCCTAACAGTTGGAACCTCTCAATACGCCGGTTTTTTGGGATTTGAAAGTATCAGAAGATATCAAAAAGGTTTTGTATTTTTTGTAATTTTTTTTGCGCTATAACAAGTTCACGTGAACGTAAGAAATAAAAAAAGCGCCCAATTCGAGAATCGAACCAGGGACGTAGCTGTCGAAATTTGAGTTTATACCACTCCCCCACCGAGCTTTGAAAGTAGAATATCCGATGTAGTTACTGATCTTCAATTTCAGACCGATGCTTTAAAAGGTAATGGCATTGTTCCTTCCTCGCAATAGATCATCTCTTGTTACGCAGTTCCTACAATGGATTCTCCATCTGGCTCAGACGTTTCTATAAGAAATACGATCTGCTTTAGGATAAAGTCTGCAACATTTGATGGCATTACTTCGTAGACTACCTTAAAGGCGTAGTTCGTGGTCGTCGCTCGATTCAATGGATGGTCCGAGATGGCGGGTAGATTAGCGATGGCGTGGTCCAACAGCCGAGATTGTGGAGGCTATACCTGTGTAACAACAGCTCGTCTATTGAGCCCAGGTCGACTATCTAAATGGAAGATACGGTAACGAAAATTATCAGCATCTTCACACAATCCATTTCTGAAATAAGATCAAAACTAAAGGTAAACCATTGCAAGACGTTGCCAATGATTTTCAGAGGCTAACAAGGATTGCTTTCCCTGAGGAATATTCAAAATTTTTAACCCACCAACAGTTTGTATAAACCTAAATTATTAAGAGAAAAAGTTGCCTAGCAGTTGGAACCTCTCAACACGCGGGTCTTTTGGGAATTTGAAAACAGAATATCCGCTGTTGTCAACGATCTTGATTATCAGATCTGAGTTTCAAAACACAATGGCCTGGTTCCTACCCAGCAACAGATCATCTCTTGCCATGCGGTTCGTAAAACGGACCTTGAAATGCATCAATATGTTCGACTATCACCCTGCTGTATTCTCCATGAAACCATAGTTATGACTATGAAGTATGAAGCATCTCAACAAGCTTCAAGACTTCCTTTCTCTTCTATTTTCTCGTCAAACAAGTTTGTGAAAGCCATCCTACCAGCCTTTCTATTCATCGTCGACGCATCCCAAATCTCGTTCAAAATAAAGCCATATGCTGGAGATGTAACCAAGAAGGACATCTGCAACACAATTGTCCCCAAACTATTCTAAAGACCCAAGATAACATCCATGGCAACCAGGGAAACGACAATTGGTCAACCACGAGAGGCAGAGGTCGGCTCAACAACAAAGCAAAGCTCCAATCAAAGTCATCCTAGCCTCATCTCTTCAAGGAAAGGACGATGGCCTTTTCTTGTATGGAAGTGTTGAAGAACATTCTTGCTTCATGGTCATTGACATTGGGTCAAACACAACCATCCTTCTAACTGGTCTCTTCAATCAACTAACACCAAAACCCGTAGTTACAATTACCGACAACGCCGGTCCATCGCTACAGCAACCGGAAAATAGACACTGAAACATCACCGAGTGCTGATCGAGCCACTAATTGGTGACAAATTCTACCAGCATCCTGGGTATGTAGCTGATATTGTGAACGATTTCATGGTTGGCATTGATATTCTGAGAAAATTTGAATTCTTTAAAGAGTTAGGACATGGTCTTCTCTGTTGTATGACATAAGAAATTCCTCCGTTAAAGGGTAGACCAACGGACTACTCGCAAACTTGTCTAGTTATGGTCAGGGAAGATGTAGAAATCTCACCATACGAGAATGAATGTATTGTCAGAGGTGAATTAGACACCTCGAAATTACCATCTCTCTGCCATTTTGGAAGGAAGTAAGCCTGGAAGTGGAGTCATCATTGCTGAATAATTGATTGACACCAAGAGCAAGTCCATTCCTGTTCATGTTATCAACTTATACGAGTTTTCTAAGACATTCAAAAAAGGCTCTGAAATGGGTCTCATTGAGCTGTTGTCACCACGACTCTGCATCATAAAGTACCATACAGCATCACCACTGTAAACAAAGTACCGGCTCATCTTGAAAAATGCTGGGAAACTTCCAAAGTAGCTCTTGGCAGCGATCAACAACATCGTTTGAATAGTTCTTCAAATTAAAGATACTTCGTTCAGTAAATCTTTTTTAATAAATATTTACTGGCCGAATTATCTTTAATTTGAATAACTATGAATGCCGGCCAGGCAGCCTCTATATTTACAATCGTTTGAATAGTTTACTCGTTTATTATGCAAATGTATTCCCAAAGTCTCCTGAAGATTACGAAAGGACATAATTAACTGGGCATATGAGCGACATAAAATAATCTGCACCCATTAAACAGACGTCAAGATGGCTTCCCTTCGCTCGAGAACAAAACGTGGACACTCTCGTGAAAGAGATGTTGATAAAGACATCATCGAGCCATCTTCCAGTCCCTAGACATCACCAGTAATGCTTGTCAAGAAAAAAGATGGATCCACCCGTTTCCATGTTGACTGCCGAAAGTTGATCGACGTCACAAAAAGACTCTTACCTCTCTTTCTAGAATAGACTCTACCTTTGACAGACTCTCTGGGTCTGAATGGTTCTCTACTTTAGATCTGAAAAGCGGATATTGGCAAGTAGAGATGCACCCCCAACGACAAGGAGAATTAGCCTAGAGTATCATTTGTTCCCAAGTGGTCAACCTCCCAAGTACTGACCGGGCCCGACATTGCTTAACTTCGTTGATCCGACAAGGAACAATGTTTTCAATGTGCTATGGTCGTTGGACGACAAGGAGAAGACTGCTTTCACTACTTGAAATGGCTTGTAGCAATTCAATGTGATGCCTTTTGGTCTCTGCAATGCACCAGCTACATTCGAACGCCTAATGGAAGCTGTCCTTCAAGGTTTGCCCTGGGTCTTATTTACTTGGATAGCATCGTTGTTTTAGGGAGAACATTCGACCATCACACCGTGACAATCTGAAGCAAGTATTCCAGCGTTTGAGAGAAGCCAATCTTAAGCTCAGCTCTGACAAACGCAAGCTCGCAATGAAGTCACTTACTTGGGTCACATTATCTCTTCAACTCCGCCTTTGCTGGTCCCAAGCTCGGATGAAAAAGGAGGAGGGGGTTCAGCTGGCCCGGCTGATAGTACCCTGTAAGAGCTCCTAATCCTGGGATACAGGATGAGCAGCGTTTGTACTCCATGTTAGGGGCGGCTGCACATGGCGTCTGTTCCTCGTTTCAGAGGCGGCTATTTCTTTTGGAGCTAAGTCGACCTGCCACTGAGTAGTGCTCCCAGTCTTAATGACAAAGGCATTCTACTTCACCCGGTAATGATGGTTGTCAAATAGACACCATCAAGGGTTACAACTTGATATCCTAATATGATTGAGTGGAGATAAGAAAGAAGAAGAAAGACATTATCTCTCCTGATTGCATTCGCATGGACCCAGATAAGACACAAGCTGTCAGATTTTCAGAACTGATTTATTCTCTTCTGAAAATCTCATACTTAGTATTTCATTTGAACGATCTTATATGGTTACTTTCGACCTTTTTTTATGTCCCTTTTCAGGTTGTGGACAATTTATGTCTCGCGACAATGTTGATAAAATCTCTTACATTGTCAACCAAATGTCAATTTCATCACTGATGAGAAAGATAAAGCAAGTAAATAAGTAAATAGATAAATAAATAAATGCTGAAGGAAAGCAGGGAGGACAGATTTAGCTATACAGTCAGGTAGAGCAATATCCGGTGAGTAGGAGGGAATCAATGGATGCTCTATCCATTTTTAACTCCCGCTGTTTTTATGGCTCTTGTTTCCTGTGGTCTCTTTTTTTTATGTTTTCCAATTCTAGCGTTCTCTTCTACGTCTGGACACGACACCAAATCACGGTCTTTTTCTTCCTTTTTGTTGGCCGTTGTAAATGTTCGATAGTTCCCAGCCAAACAAATTTCAAGATATCCTGCGTATATATTTCTCCAACATATATGTGGCATTGAGTGTAATTTTACTGCTAGAGCCCTCGTTCGGTTCAAAATCACTTTATTAGGTACCGCTCAACAAGAGTAACCTAGTTTATGATAATTGAAACAGTGAATAATATATATGAAGGCTTTTCACATATTAAACAAAATTTTAACGCGGGATTCAATCCCGGTTCATGACTGTCGAGAATCGAGGGTGTTACCCACTCGTCCACCGACTTTTTTTTTTGCTAGAGCCCTGTTTGGTTACATTGCACTCATTGGTGAAGTTGGACTTGTATATAAAAAACTGGAATGTCAGTATGTAAAAACGATTTATTTGGAAATATGCAATTATGTTACTGTTTTGTCGAAGTGGTATAAACTGTTGTTTTTAGACAGCTACGACCTGGGATTGAATCCCGCATTGGACAATTTTTTTTTTCTAAATAAAAATTTCTTCAATGGCCCCCGATTCTTTCAAAAGTCCAACTCCACCAATGAGTGCAAGTTCCTCCCATGGTTCCAGAATAACTTTACTAAGTACCGCTCAAAAAGAGCAACCTAGTTTATGATATTTACAACAATGAATCGTATATGTAAAATTTATTCACATATTAAAACAAAGTGTACAATACGGGATTCTATCCCGATTCATGGTTGACGGGAATCGAGGGTTTTAACCACTTGTTAACCGACTTTTATTGTTAATGCAAGTAACCAAACAAGGCTCTGGAATATTTGTAAGTGAAAAAGTCGAACTTTAAATTTCAATATACATGTGATGCACTTACAGTATAAGCTAATTACAACCCACCACGATTATAATGGTGGTCGGTGGAAGGATGGTTTAAACCGTTGGTTTTCAACCGCTACGACCCGGGTTCGATTCCCGCATTGGGCACTTTTTTTCTGATTAAAAAAAAATGCTCCAATGGCCCCTGAATCTTTCAAAAGTCCAATCCCACCAGCGAATGCAAGTAACCAAACAAGGCTCTGGCATATTTGTAAGTACAAAAGTCGAACTGTTTTCCACCAGACATACAAGTATATACTTTTGACTAAAAATAGCATGTTGACAATGCCTCATCCCCCGTACTCGGCTGATTCAACACCAAATGACTTCTTTCTCTTTCCTAGAATGAAGTCAGTTCTAAAAGGACATAGATTTGATACTGTTAATGCCATAAAGGAAAAATCGCTGAGCATTTTGAGGGGCATTACTTCTGACAAATTTTCTGGGTGATTCCAGAACTGGGGAAAAAAATGAAACGCTGTATAGATTCCCTCGGACAGTATTTTGAGGTATATTAACCATTTTTGTATATATTCATCTAATAAATCTTTTATAATCCAATTCCCCGAATTTTATGAGCATACCTTGTATGATGCACTTACAGTAAAAGTCAATTACAACCCACCACCATTATTATGGCCATGTGTGTGTACTAGAGATAATAATAAAATAATTACTAAACATACTAATTAACTGACTAATTAATTCCTCTATAGCAACGATCGTCTGCTTATTATATAAATAGAGTATCGTCTGATATATAATATCGTCCTCTGTTTATTTTTAATATAAACTTTAAAATATATTTATTACATTAATAATTTGTGGTGTGTATGTTATGTTAATAATTAATTTGCAAATATTTAGCTATCGCCATTTCTAGTTTATAAATATATTAGGTATTTTATTGGATTAAATATCTTTTGTTACTGATTTTTTTTAAAGTTCTATTTTTGCTCTTCGTTGCCATGTTAGTCATATCCAACCTCACCAGCGAGTACAAGTAACCAAACGGGGCTTTAGCACATTTGTAAGTGCAAAGTCGAACTGCTTTTCACATACGTAGACATGTGGTGCACTTACAATAAAAGCAGTTTCCTACTTCTACCCATCATGATTATCAATGGCCTGTATCACGTGTACTAGGGATAAGCAAAAAAAAAGTTAGTCATCTTGGACCAGAATTTGGTTGAAAACTTCAAGTGTACAGGGGGAACCACAGGAAGGTTTGGTCGGATAGCTAGGTCAAATCTATGACCAAAATATAGATGCAACCTTTGCCGGGAGGATATTGAACTATAAAAAAAGGTCACATATTCCGTCTCCAGTGGCTTTGTCACCGACCCGAGACCGCTAGTTTGTGGCGACGGTCAATTGATGATCTTCTATTTTGACCGAAAAGGCGACTTTTGATTTTATAGATCAATTTCCTACTTACAAAATATCCATATACAGTTAAACCTCTCTATAGCGCCCCCTCTAACTAGCGCCTCCCTCTCTATAGCGCCCGATTTTGAATACATAGTACGATGCGATTTACATTAAAAGTGACCTGTCTATAGCACCTCCTCTAAATACCACCTTCTTCTCTATAGCGCCCGATTTTAAATACGTAGTACGATGCGATTTACATTAAAAGTGACCTGTCTATAGCACCCCCTCTAAATAGCGCCTTCCTCTCTATAGCGCCCGATTTTAAATACGTAGTACAATGCGATTTACATTAAAAGTGACCTGTCTATAGCCCCCTCTAAATAGCACCTTCCTCTCTATAGCGCCCGATTTTAAATACGTAGTACGATGCGATTTACATTAAAGTGACCTGTCTATAGCACCCCCTCTAAATAGCGCCTCCCTCTCTATAGCGCCAGATTTTAAATATGCAGTACGATGCGATTTACATTAAAAGTGACCTGTCTATAGCACCCCCTCTAAATAGCGCCTCCCTCTCTATAGCGCCAGATTTTAAATACGTAGAACGATGCGCTTTACATTAAAAGTGACATGTCTATAGCCCCCCTCTAACTAGCGCCTCCCTCTCTATAGCGCCCGATTTTAAATACGTAGTACGATGCGATTTACATTAAAAGTGACCTGTCTATAGCCCCCCTCTAACTAGCGCCTCCCTCTCTATAGCGCCCGATTTTAAATACGTAGTACGATGCGATTTACATTAAAAGTGACCTGTCTATAGCCCCCCTCTAACTAGCGCCTCCCTCTCTATAGCGCCTTATTTTAAATACGTAGTACGATGCGATTTACATTAAAAGTGACCTGTCTATAGCATCCCCCTCTCTATAGCACCCTATTTTGGTGAGTTCCAAGTGGGGGCGCTATAGACTATAGGTTTAACTGTATATTGTATTATTAAGAGATAACATGGAATCTATATATAAGAAATGGAAGTATTAAACCATGAATATTTCTTTTTACATATAAATCAAACTTCTACTGTCCTTACTGCGATGAAAAAATATTGGGAAGGCTTGGTTCATCAGTGGTGGAACCTCCCAGCGATTTCACCAATTTAATCCACCAGACCGCTTCTTAAAGCTCTAATACTGTATTGGACGATTCTGCTTATATATGCTGCAATGAAGGGTGGAATCTTAGAAATAGTTTTCAATCAAACTATGGAGATAAGCTTTTAGTACAGTAAATATATTAAATAATAAAAATACATATATTGGATTGAATAAAAGATCTATTTGCCAATATTTCGGTTTACTGAGCGCCAACCTTTATCAAGGCATTACCTTTTTGTATACACAAACTTAGCACCGCATAAATATATATTAATGATGATGGTAATAATAATATGGCAGAGAATACTATTTTATAAATATCGCGTATAGTTAAAACTATAATACATTATGTGAGTTTGTTGCTGACACACATTAATATGTTATAATACCTTGAAAAAGGTGGGCGATCAGCCAAATGAAATATTGGTATAATTTTAACGAACGGAAAAAGATGTCCAGGGTAGCCTAGTGGACATGACATCTGCCCG